GGAGAGTCCTATTGCACATGCCGCGTTCACATTAGGATTCCCTATAGGAAAGCATTTTGTTAATGCTTTTCTATGGGGATTTGATTGACGCTGGATGTCTTCATGTATAGAACGTCCAGCGTCATTTAGGCGACTTTTTGGTGGCTGGTAGACAGCCACTAGAGGTGGAGTTAACCCTCTAGAAAACTGCAATAATCACCTTGGACATTGCATCCGGACCACTTCAATGAGCTGAAGTAGTCTGGGTGCCTATAGTGTCCCTTTAAGAATAATCTCAGATTTAAAGCATTGCTATTGTGTTGGGGTGTTAACCCCTGCCCTGCCAAAGTCAGTGTAATAAAACGTAATGGATATTTATAATATTTTGTTATGCAGACCTTGCGTGGTGTCAGTGAGCTCAAGTTGAAAGTCTTTCATCACTCCTGGTGCAGTTCACCCCGATGTACACATGTGAAATTATTCTAATTAATTAATTAAATATTAAAGAATAGAGTAAGTGGTTTTAAGCTATCAGTAAAACTGTATATGTAACTATCTTCTCATCTTTGCTATGTTTATTGTATCGCACATCATATGTGGTCGGCCACACATAGCCCAAAAATGGACAGTTTTGTCACCGTGAGGGCTCGGGGCGCAGGGACAAGGTGCATTCATTCTTGTGATAAGCTCACTGGGAGTGACAACTCAATGGGACTATTCACTAAACAGGCATTCACTGTGCATTGAAATAATGAATAATATAAGCGTTCCCACCTTCCCCCCACTCGGACACACAGAACCCACAAACATGTATGAACACCTTGATACACAGATAACGCACTGGCACATACACACTCAGATACACACACTGACATACAGATACACACACACTGACATAAACATTTAGATACACACACTAACATACAGATACACACAAACTGACACAAACACAGATACACTCTGACATACAGATACATTCAAACTGACACAAACACACAGATACAGATACACACTGACATAAAGATACACACACACTGACACAAGTACAAAGATACAGATACACACACTGACATACAGATACACACAAACTGACACAAACACACAGATACACACTGATATACAGATACACACACTGACACAAGCACACAGATACAGATACACACACTGACATACAGATACACACAAACTGACACAAACACACAGATACACACTGACATACAGATACACACACACACACTGACACAAGCACACAGATACAGATACAGACACTGACATACAGATACACACAAACTGACACAAACACACAGATACACACTGACATACAGATACACACACTGACACAAGCACACAGATACAGATACATACACTGACATACAGATACACACAAACTGACACAAACACACAGATACACACTGATATACAGATACACACACACACACTGACACAAGCACACAGATACAGATACATACACTGACATACAGATACACACAAACTGACACAAACACACAGATACACACTGACATACAGATACACACACTGACACAAGCACACAGATACAGATACACACACTGACATACAGATACACACACTGACATACAGATACACACAAACTGACACAAACACACAGATACACACTGACATACAGATACACACACACACTGACACAAACACTCAGATTCACACACTGACACATACACACACTGCTTAGTGAGTGTGAAGGAATCATGTATAATATCCTGGAAACAAACACACACAATCTGATATGAGAGTGTCAGGGAGCCCCATGCAGAATGAAGGAGACTTGGGGTGTCTGCGTTATATACAAAAGAAAGAGGATTTTTCCAGTAAAGTCACGTGTAAGTTGCAATTTCTGTACCTCACAGGTATACTTGTTGGTTTGGTCTATTTTAGTTTTCTCCAATTCATAGTTTAGTGAAGGAACAAATATTGTTATAGTGTTAATACCACCTTCCGGAGACGGCAAGGTTTAGACAAGTTTCTGAAGAATTTCTGTTTTACACTTAGTGATAAAATCTTTACACGTACAGTGGCATTAACAGGAAATGGCGACTCGTTGCAATGAATGTACATTACAAACTCAAGGCTGGGAATATATTTCATATTTTAAGATAAGCTTTTAAAATGAATCTCAATGCAGTCAGAAAAACTTCCCAAATCTTCCCAAATTATCTATAAAAATTCCCGTAGACTTTAATGGAGGCGTCTGTAGACAAATCATTTAGAACGTTTCCCTAACAGTATTGAATCATACGGGAAGCGTATTAAAGTGGATTTACAACGACGGTGACCTTGCCACCCGGCTTCTGGCTGCCGGGGGAAGAGACGGGCAAAGGTGGGATTTACTAACCTGAACATGTCCCTCGCAGGCACCACAATCCTCTCTCTATGGCTCCTCTTCACTACCTGGCGCTACAGCTTCCCGGAGCCGACATCGGGACTGTACGCATGCGCATACACAAAAGAACAGCATTGAGATATATGGAGAATCATGCGAGACAGCGGAATCCTCCATAGAAGGAGCTTAATTTCCCTACAGCCATCATGGGTGACCAAGCTTCGGCAGTAGCTCCCGTCCAGTGTCTAGAAGTGTTAAGCGGAGAAAAAATACTAAGGCAATGTCAAACTAGTCCCTACTTAGTCTCAGTATATCTCTTCAGCTGGTTGGAATTTCAGTGACATTCCATCACAGTCAGTGTGAGTTTGTTTTATAAAGATTCTATCTTTATGAAATAATTATCTTGGAGGCGGAAGTGACACTTTAAATGGACTCCTTTGCCACAACAGCAGTTACAGTTTAAAGACGCAGTAACACCAAAATAGAAGCCACTTGGGGGCGGGGCCGGACCGCCATGCAGGCAAGTCGCATGTCTGAGCAGCCCCTGAGGGCTTTAGCTTAAAGAGCTGAATTTCGGCAGAGCCTGTACCAACTCAGGTGCAATAATCTGCTACTTAATTGACAGCTGGTGCTGGTGCCGGGCCCAGATCCGGGAATACTAAAGCCTGAAACAAACAATCGAGACTCCAGAATTTGAGGCCTGGTCGAGCGAGGAGCGGGGTGGACGACCACCTCCTTGCTTCCTTGTTCACTGGCTCTCCCACGGAGCAACTGACTGGTCCCTCTGGACCGGTAGGGGTCATCCCGATCTCCGCCAGCACAGTTCTCTGCCAGACCTGCTAAATCACAAAGGCGATCAGCACCGACTGCTAAACACACCTAAGATGGCGGCACCTCATGTTCCTGAACAACACGAGGCAGCAGAGGCACACAAGAGGTGGAAGAAGGTCTTTCTGCTGCCTTATGGAGAGCCCTGCATACGTCTCTGGAGAGAGCTGGGAGATAGAAACATGCAGCTCGGCTTACCAATCGCCGACCCGGCACTTCTACATCCTGAAAGGTACCTGCGTCCATGCCCCTTCATCAGCCTGAGCAGCGAGACGTGAAGGGAAAGATCCCAGAAGACGACCCACTGGCTCTGATCTCGGGTGTAACCACGGCTAAAGCCTTGCGAAAACGGCGTGAAGAGGCCCCAAAATCTGGCGTGTTGCTCCCTGAGCATATCTGGGGATGGGAGTGCGAAAATGGGGAATCCCAACTTGCCACAATCAGCATCTCTTCGGGCCTGGGTCAGGAGAACTCTCACAGCCCACTCAGTACACCCAGTCTCGGCATAGGCTGAACTCTTTTTTTTTTCCTTCGGTTTCAAACACCCAAGACCACATTAAGTTACTCAGCTCCCAACAGCCTCCATACTGTTTACTCTTATTTATTACTAATGTTTGTTTTTTTAATGTATGTGATCTTGCTGGTTTCTGAGCTGATCGCCTAGTCTTAATTCCAACATATCTTGTCTATCATGCATTCCTAGCATATATGTCACTATAAAGATGAGCTGGCGGTATTTCTAACCAGGCCACTGGTAATCATACAGCATCTCTCAAAGTCTCTTGTAACTTCCTCACGGTGGCCCAAGTATAAGCAGTAACATACCTTAGTTTAGTATACTGACAACTGATTAGACTTCTTGACATGCATAATACAAGCTTGCCATTATCTCTACTCAATGTTTTTTGTGCATGTCGAGGTTTCTCACTTTTTGAATGTTTATTAAAAAAAAAGTGCAAGTCTTTAGACATGACCTGTTGTATACCTGCAATATACTTTGTCATATTACTTATCAATGTCATGTCACTACCTGCTTATGTTTCTTTCTATGCACTACTAAAATAAAGAATTATAAAAAAAAAAAAAAAAATAGCAGCCACTTGGTAAAAAATAGATGACTGACTTCTCCGAGCAATGTTTCAGACCATTACAGTAAAGATATCTCACACAGGCTCTTCCAATCCTCAATATTTCCCCAGTTCCTCACTTTACAATTTGTCTATTGCCCTAATAGCGTTAAACAAGCTCCACCGTCCAGACCCAGGCTCCACCTGATCCGAGAAGCAGGTGGTCTCTGTATGCTGTATATTGACCTGGACTTTCTTGCCTTTCACTGAAATCAGCTTGCATAGACTTCACTAATTTGCCAACTGGCCACCAGTTCTCTGGGTTCTCTCGAAGTCGATCCATCCTTCCTCTAAGCCAATTCTCCCTGCACCTCGCATGGTTGGCTGCCAGTAAACAGGTAATGCTACACCTACCCGTCACTGTTAACCATGGCCTTTCTATATTACTTAGCTGTGACGGTCTGCAGCCACCAAGTACCGCAGCTAAAGCAACGCACAACATGTGCTCTTACAATCTCCACTGGCTTACCTGTGTCTGCAGTGGAGGTCGACCACAAATAAAAAAACTAATT